ATTCTGAATAGATATGTCCACAGCAAGATTGCATTTGTCAAGACCATGAGAAGAGGATGTTGTGGTAATGGAGACCTGCTATGATGAAAGCAGTTGTATGGCTGTATAGGAAAGCCTTTATCTAAAAGTTATGGAGAAGTGTCTGCTTGACAGGGTTTTGGCTGATTGCATCCTATTCCTTTCAGCTACTCACACTCCTCCCATTGGCTCTTTACAATACCTAGCTACTGAAGACCACTCCACTGCTTTGGTAGTCACTCCTGTTCAGTTAAATTCATCTCCTGCCCTTCTCATACTTCGAATTAGACTATAGTGACCCAGCCAAATATCTGGAACCAAAAGGGCCCTGACAGGGCGAAGACACTGTCTCCAGGAAGGAAGCCCTGGGGGCACCGCTCCATTCCAAGGTGGGAACAAACTGAGACATTAACGAAGATGCTGAGAGAGGTCCTGTTGGACTTTTACAGCAGAAAGGGTTTGTTTTATTTTGCATACAGACTGTGTGGCGGTCGAAGGGCTGAGTAACTGAAGAGCCTCCATAAATAGAGAGAGAATGTGCAGGCACAAGCACTCAGCCCAAGGGCACTCAGGAGAGTTTAGTGCAATCCCGTTACAACCACACTAAATTAATGAGCTCCCTCCTTAGGGCCCGATTTTCCACTGACTCTTGTGCAAACCAAGGGTCAATGCATGGAAACTGTTGACCAGCTGGGGTGAAAGAACAATTAGGCTGGTGTATAGAGGAGCAGGAGTAGGAGTCCTGGGTTACTAGGGACATTCCAAGAAGGGAGAGGGGATGGCTATAATGCGTCCCAGCGGTACCCAGCATTGTGAGGCATCTTGCAACCATCTGCCCTTAGCATGAGGAAGCCATGTCTGAGTGTCATGGTGAGCTCCCTAACAGCACAGCCATGGACAACACAAGCACTCTCCTCTCTGCATACAGGCTACTGATAGGTACACTACAATCTCAAATTCTTGGAGCATTCTCCAGGAGTGTCCAGATCCTGGTTCACTGGAGGCTTGCAATATTCACATATTCCCAAAGAAGTGGCTTACCAGTTCCACCACAGATCACTGCTCTGTTTAATACTCAGCACTTAGATATGTTTATAGTGTTCCCAAGTACACGTTTAAGTCCAGAGACCTGAAAAATAGCAAGCTGAAGTACTCGAAACAAATGGTTTCATGTAACCAAAATCATAAGCTCACAGCCAACAGCCTATATTTAATTACCAAGATACTTTCTTTTCTAATGAAGTTTACTTTGTCTTTCTAGTGTTTTCCTTTGGAACTTCTATTTTCTCCCACTGAAGAAACTTACTTTAATCGTCTCCTAGACTTCTTTAAATACAACAGATTGAGCTCAGTCTCTCAGTGCAAGGCATTTTCTCCACCTCAGTTTTTGACAAATGTTCCTGAGCTAGAGGGAGCTTGGATGTGGAGGACTTATATCTGCATCCACTGTGACTTTCCAACATTCTTTTCAAATGTATACACCAGAACTAGATGTAGTATTTTAGTACTGGTCTCACCAATGGTATGAATAGTAAAAATCATCTCCCTACAACTATTCACAATTCTCATCTTTATCCATCAAAGGATCACATTATCCCTTTTTGTACTGCACTGGGAGCTCATGTTCATTTGTTTTTCTATTGTGACCCCTGAATCCTTTGCATAGTCTTCCAAGATACAGTCCTCGAATCTGCATATAAGACCTGAATTATTTATTCCTAGATGTGAGAGTTTGCAGTTTCCTGTTTTCAAACACATTTTGAGTGGCTCTAGCTTATCAACTGATCCAGATGACTCTAATTTATTTCTTTATCTTCATCTTTATTCACACTTCCCGTCTTTATGTCATTCACAAATCTGATCAGCAATTATTTTATGTTTACATCCAGCTCATTGATGAAAGCATTACATAGAATCTGGGCCAGTCCCCATAGAATCCCACTAGAAATGCTTTAATTTGGTGATGATTGTGAATTACTTTTTGAGATCTGCCAGTTAGCCAGTTCTTCTTAATCAATCTACAATGTACTTTAAAAATAGCACTTCACAAGATCAATAACCAGTACTAAATGAAACACCTTACAAAAGTCTATGAAATTACCTTTATCAAAATTGTACTCTCAAACAATTCAATCAAGTTTGTTTTTCTACAAAACCATGTTGACTGGCATTAATTATATGCCTATCTTACTAATTCTTTACTAATGCAATTCCATATTAGTTTTTGTATCTTTTTACCTGGGACTGATGTCAGGCTATCATTACCTGGATTGTTTCATTTGGTCTTCTTGAATATCAACACAACATTAGATCTCTTCCAGTATTCAGGAATGTCCCAGTATTCCAAAATGGACTAAAATTAATATCAGTCAGGGATCTTCTCAACCATCTCTTTTAGGGAGTGCAAGTTATTTGGGCTCCTGCATTTAAAGATGCCTACTCTTGGTAAATGTTGTTTAGCATCCTTTGTTATGAATAGACTGGAAAATGGTTCAATAATATCATCTGACATGACTAAATCATCTTCCTTCTTTCAAAATACTGAACAGAAATATGACACTTGGCTGCATAATTGCTAACAATTTTACCATCTCCATCTAATAAAAGGCCTATACCACTGCTATAATTTTTGTTCCGAATAAACTTAATTCTTTCACTTAGTCTTAGACCATCCAGTGAGCGCCTCAGAAATCTTGATGAGAGCTGAACTTTGGTATTTTTTTATTCTGGCTCAGAATAAACCACCTACTAATACCCTATTATTGTGACAATAGTAAAGAGTTACAAAAAGAGCCTCTTTATTCTAACACCGAAGAAGGATCATCATTAGAGTAAGAAACAATATTATCATTAAAGTTTCTCTCCCTTTCTCTCCCTGTTTCACTGCAAAGTTTCTGCCTAGAATCTTACCTGGCCTCCTACTTGCCTGGATTTCTCACATCAGCCTACATTATATATAGATCAGACATCAGCCTGTAAAGTGCAAGTTACTGTACAGAGTGTAAAACGACCACACTGAAAAAAGCATATTCTAAAATAGGAAATGTTTCCGCCAGATATTGACCATAATGGTGATAAGTGGCAAATGTTCTGCTATGTGGAATATTTTAGCTGATTATAAAAGGAAGGTTACTTGACAATGCACTCTAGAAGGCTTACCATATGTTAAGAAAAGGGAAATACTTAAAGCTGCTGCAAGCTGCTCTGTGAAAAAGGTTGCCATGCCTCTCATGTCAATATTAGGGCTAAAGCTCAGCTCCTGGCTGTGTCCATTGATGATGTGAAACCTCATGCCAATGTGCTACACATGTCATTTGTGTACCTACTCACATCACCAGGATGATAAAGCTGAGATGCCAGCACCAGAATGGAGAGCAAAACTGTTAGCTCTAGCAGGAACCACCCTGTTGTCAAACAACCCCACCAGCAGCACACATGGGCTAAGAATCAATCTCTCCTTAGGGGCCCTCATAAGAGACTCTACCTAGAATATTGCTGTGAGATTCCTCCCTGCTGTGTACCCAAAAAAACCCCAAACTTTGAGAACTCCTTGTGTCCTGATGCAGAAGCATTTTCGTACCTCCTCACGCCCTTGCCACCCAGAAGGGCAGCCTCACACCTTTATGCCTCTCAGAGCGCTTGCCCTTTTTACTCATTCCCTGTTGGGTATTGAGAGGTTTCATGGCAAGACTTCTACTGCCAGAAGTACCCTCTCCAAAGCAGTTCTAATTTTCTAGTGACACAAGAGACACTGATTCTCTTCATAATATGCACCTTTGGGGAGCTAATTTAACACATACCTACTGTCTCCAAGCTGCAATTAAACACACACAGCACTAAGACCAATGGTCATAAACATCTTGCCTCCTCTCTTTTCTCTACAGACAGAGCAAATCCTCCTTCCCTTCCCCCATTCCCCCCCAACACATTTTGTCAGTGCCCCTCTATGCTGTCTGAGCAACTGAACTCAGAAATGAGAAATGTGTGCTAATTTCACAATAGGGAAGGAATGCAGAAGACTGCATACAGCATAGACAAAAATAAATCTATCTGACAATGAATTCACCATCTTAGAAAGTATGCCTTGAGTTCTGTAATGAGAAATGAATGTGACTGTATAGTCTGTGCTGCTCTGAGATACATTTGGCTGCAGGAGAGTCTCAAAATTAGTTCACTCCTGAATGACAAATCTTAATGACTATAAACTTCTCATGAATATTCATTAACTTGTCAAACTTTTGTTTGTGGTGAAGCTGACATCATAGCAGGTCTAAGCCATTTGAAAAGCTCCCCAAAGTTACTCTCCCCCACCTCCTCCTCATAGGCAGATTTTGCTTTTTTAAAGTTCAGAGCAACTAATTTTTGTTCTTACCCTTTGGCTCGTCCATCAGTGCAAGCGTTCTCTCTCCTCCTTTCGGAGCCTCTGCTAGCTCTGAGCTGCTTTTAGTGAGAGGTGCACATGAAACAGAGCTATTTAACGGTCCATGGCTGTGGGAGGGGTTAGTTTAACTCTGCATGACTCAGAAGGAACCTAGAAGCAGGTCACCCTGTGATTTTTCATTAAGACAGAAATTAGCTCATGAATGCAACCTGCTTCAGTCCCAGGCTTCCATTAACAGAGTGCCACAAAGTGTTTGGTAACAAAAGCTGCCACAGAGAATACCCTGTGCCTTCCCCCTTTGAGACGTCAGCAGAGGCAGATTATATGTCTGGCTGTACTGAAACTTTTCAAAGAAAAATAGTCTCTTGGACATAGTTGCTTTCTGTTTATTCATCTATCTTAGAAGCTGTTTAACATTCAGATTCCCTTAGCATTTGTCAGGCGGTATATGAGAGGAAGAGTGACTTTTAAAAGGAAATAGTTTTGCCCTCCCTCACTTCCATCTGCTACATTTCACTGCCTAGATCCAAACACAAGAAAATGGAAACTACGGCTGGGAAAGAAAAAAAAATAAGTTGATTTATAAATAATATTTGCAAACCTTGCTGAATCCACCAGTTGCAGTCACAACTATATAAACCTTGGCTTTTCATCCCACAGATGCTCATCTTCTGTTCCCTGGGCCCACACCTTCACATGCTTGGAGCTCCTGTAGAGAGAAAGGGTTTGTTCACTAACTGGTTTGAGACACATGCCCCTGCCTCAAAGAATGGCTAAACTCTGAAAAATGTCATACAAATACCTTGCGACCTACGTATTTACCATCTTTCAGCATCCCTGAAGCAGTGTACGGGATCTTCCAGTAAAAAGATATGCAGTGCAGGTATCTCAGTAGGGTAGCCCTGCATCTGATCCCAGGATCCCAGACAAGATGGATGAGACATAGGTGCTGATTCTGTGGGTGCTCTGGAGCTGGAGTACCCACAGGGAAAATTAATGGTGCCTGAGCAACCATTGGCAACCAAACTCCCCCTCTGCCACCTCCCTCCAGCATCTCTCATGGCCCCACTGACCAACTCCTCCCTCTCCCATCCAGCACCTCCCACCTGCCATGGAAAACAGCTGTTTGGGAGCATTCTGGACACTCCTGGAGCTTGGGGGAGGAGCAGAGATATGGCATGCTTGGGGGAAGAGGCAGGGATGAGGCAGGGCTGGAGCTTGGGGTAAAGTAGGGGAAGGACTCAAGCACCTCTATCTAGAAGGGAAATTGGCTTCAGTGGGGTGGAGTGATATATTATAGCCTATGTCTACACTTCCAGAGTTTTTGCGCCATCAGTTTCACCTGTGCTAGAAACTGGTAAAAGAAAAGTGCTGGTTTGTATTCTCACTGAGGGTTACAGGCATCAGTGAGCGTTCACATTTGTAGCACTTCCATTGCTGATGACAGCAGTGCCCTGAGGGCAGCTACCCACAGTGCAGCTCTTGTAGGAAGGGCAGGTAATTGTGAGAAACCTGGTTCCTTGCAGAGCTCTCTCTCTGCAAACGTTAGTCAGCTCCAGTAGCTCCGCATTGCTTCAAGCAGGGGATCAATTGCTCCTTGGAGCAGACCTTGTCACCTGGCCAGATGAGAAGTGAGCATGTGCCAAGCAAATGGGAACAGGAGTTTCGAAATCCCAGGGCTTTACTGGTGGAGGGGCAGACATCTGTTTACTTGGCATCAGAACAGGAGAGCTACTGGCCAAAGTGGTCACCTCAGCATTGTGGGATATCTAGTGGAGGCTAAAAGCTCTATTTGCAGCAAGAATGTGTCTTTACTTGCACATCACTGCAAAAGCATCATCGGTAAAAGTTGCGTGCCTCTCATAGAGGTGATTTTCTTTTTGCAATGAAACTTCTGAGTTTCACTACAAAAAGTCATTGGTAAGTGTAGATGCTCCCATGGATTTTGCACCAAAAAGGGACTTTTCCCACTTTACTGGCAAGTGTAGACATTGCTACAGCAGCACAATTGTATCAATGCAGCTGTCCCACCACGGCATGGCTGATGAAGATGGTTGGAAGAGCTTTACCATTGTCATAATTACCCCACTTCCCCTAGAGGTAGCTTTATCAGCAGATCTCTTCTGACAAAGTAACAGTGTCTACTATGGTGCTTAGGTCAGCGTGCCTTACTTCTTTCAGGAGGTGGCTTCTCCACACTCCTGAGTGAATTCAGCACTTACTGTGGTATTACTTGTATGTAGAAGTCCTGAGTAGCTTTCCCAGACCTGAGGAAGAGCTCTGTGTAGCTCAAAAGCTTGTCTTTCATCCACAGAAGTTGGTCCAATGCAAGTAAAAAGATGGTTGTTTTAATTGCTCACCTGGGAACCTCAGCCTTTGATCTGAATGCCAAGTTCACAGATCACCAACAGTAATGGATTCTGTAGGCCACATTCTGCCCTTGAGATCTGTGCAACCTCATTATATTAACGGTTGTCAGTAGAGTCTGCACAGATGTATCGGAATAAAGAGAAATAGCACATCTGTTCAGGAAAAAGGCATCATTTTTACAAACACTTTCCAAAAAGAAACCACTTAAATATTTAGGCTATGCCACTATCAAGGTTAGTAACTGAGAAGTAATCCATACTTGGGGGTCCATTCTGTCACTAGCAAACACATAATAGAGAGCATCTAAGTCATTTTACCCCGGGCCATTGCAAAGTTTCAATACAGGCAGTCCCCGGGTTAAGTACAAGATAGGGACTGTAGGTTTGTTCTTAAGTTGAAGTTGTATGTAAGTCGGAACTGGTACATATTGTACGGGAAACTCTAGCCAAATATTTCTCCAGAGCTCAGTTTTATTCTCCCATACCTCACTTTCCTCAGTCCTTTATTCTCAAGCTGAGGTGTTTGCTGAGAAAAGCCGCTTTGCGTCTCCCTGGTCTGCTGGGGGAAGCAGCTAGTGCGGGGTTGCCTCAGCCAGTTTGTAAGTAGGGACCCGATGTAAGTCGGATCCATGTAACCCGGGGACTGCCTGTATATCCATGATTGCTTTGTCCAGTCTTGGGCTTAAACGCTTCATGTGATGAGGCTTCCATTATTTCCGCTGGGAGACTATTTCACACTATGAAATATCTTATATAGAAACGTTTTCTGAGGTTCCTCCTGAATTATCCTTGTCTTGATTACATCCTATCCCTTCTAGTTCTCTCTCTTTGGAATACTTACATAGCTAACATCCATCAGTATAGGCACTGACAGGTTCCTGTAGAGAGGGGGTTATTGTTCCTTGTGGCAGGTTATATTTTTATAGCACCCAAAAGCATGTTAGGCACTTCTCTAAAAATGCCCCGGAGACAGGTCTCTCAACCAAAGATCATGCAGACTAACCAACGGGTTGACAGTGAAATGGAACTTCCCCACAGCCCAGAGATGGAGAAGGCAGACTCTGTAACATTATGTAAGGTGTTAGTTTAGACTTGGTTTGGAAGAGGAAGCAGGATCCAACTTTTGCAAATTGACTTGTTTTCTCTCTCTGTTTAAGGGCAGAATTTTAAGTGTTAGTTACAAACTAAAGAAAGGCAACCACAGTTCCTATGTTACTAAGGTTTCCATAAAGAAAACAAACTCCCAAAGGCAGGAAAGCATTTGCACTCTGATACGGTTCCAGACAGACAATCTGAAGAGGAAGTTTTAAAATACAAAAATAAAAAAAGAGGAAACCAGATGTAATTTCCACACAGCTCAGGGTTGAGAGGGGGAAATCAGCTTGGAAATCAGAATAACAAAGCTGACAAATGGCTGCCAGTCTCCTATTAACAGGGATGGTGAAAACCAGAGTTGGCTGTATCTAAAATAGCAGGAGAAATTTTTCCTTAAATGCTGCAGTTTGTTGATTACAGCCCTTTATTATTTCATCATGATTAGCATCATTGCAGATGTAATATTTATTCACACAAATGGCCACTGCCTTCTTTCTAGCCTTAATAAGATATTTGCCTCACGGTAGCCACAATCCAGATGCATGCAACTTCGGTGACACAACACTTTCTAATAAAATAATTCTGTCTTGCTACAAAACATGGGGAAACCACAGTAATATTCTCTTGAGATAGAAACGGAGACAGAATTTTAGAGCATGTCTGTCTGTCTGCAAATCCATTTGTTCAAGAACACTTCCAAAACAGTAACAGCTAAGACCACCAAATTTGATATGAAGCATCCCCTTATCCTAACTTAAAGAAAGGTCAGGGATTGGTTGTGGCAGGAAAATGGGATGTGCCTGGAATTTGATCGTTTTCCATAACATGGAAAGGGAGGGGCTGATTGGAGGGACACAATCCCACACAGTCACCACTGGGGGCATCAATTGAGGGGTTTAACTGTATTGCAGAGTGACCGCTGTAGGCTGCCACACCAGGAAGGGAGTGACCAAAGGGGGACAGGGCTTGACATTTTGCCAGCCACCGGCCCTCCTCCCCTATCCAGGCCTGGACAGTGGTGCCGGTGCTGGCCTGTGTGGCCTCCCCCTAGAGATCAGGGCACTGCTGGCAGGAGGCTTCTCTCCCTGGCTCTGGGCTGCCCGCCCAGTTGCCTCTGATCCTGGGCCAGCCTTCCCTCCTGGCCCTGGGAGCACCGGCAGGAGACCTCACTTCCCACCCTGGACTGGACCTGAGCATGCCAGGATTGTTTTCTAGTAAACAATAATTTCTTTTTAATTATTGCCCAGAGATCGGACATATTGCCTTGGCAGCAGGGCCAGCTCTAGACACCAGCAAAACAAGCAGGTGCATGGGGCGGCACATTGCCAGAGGCGGCATTCCGGCCTACAGGAGAAGCAGGGCAGTGGGGAGCCCCCAGAGGCTGCCCTGAGCTGGGAGCCCTACGCCCGGCTGCTTGGAGCCTGCACCTAGCCTTGGGGCACTGAGAGGGCATGCAGGGTGGGGTGCCTGGCCCCTGCACCCGCAGCTGCTGACACTGA